GAAAGTATAGAATTCCCTCAAAAAATGAACAATATTGTAATTAACATGTCCAGGATTTAGATTTTCGGCAAAGACAAAAAATGTAAAAATTCTAAATAGACATTATGCTTGATTACAAATTAAAACAATATCATGTAGACATAAAAGTATTACAAATTTTGTTTTTTCAGATAAAAAATGTTGTCTTAATGCGATTTCAGAGCCTATAAATTGCTAAAAATTTTGTGTGCCTATGCTAGCATAATGCGTCACATCGTCAAGCCAATAGAATAGTTAATTGTACATAAATTATTCAAATATTATAAATCGAATCAGAACTATTCGACATACAATTTTTGACCCAACAAAAATCGGTATGTGAACCAAGATGGCGGACACCGCAAAGTAGTATATGTACCAGGTTAGGGTTAGGCCATAACTCCAGGTACAAATACTACAGGAGTCACTTGGCAAGTCCCTTGAACTCGTAATAGAACCAAAATAGGGAAAACTGGAATTAAATTATCTCTAACCCTAACTGGGTATTTTGCCCCAGAAATGGTTTTTGTTTATTTATCCTTTGCTTTAAAATTGGAAATTTTTATACTTTATATATTTCAATACTAGAGCTACCGGTACTTTATAAAAATTCAAATCAAAAAAGTATGTTTTAAAACTTGCCATTAGCAGCAATAAAAATGGACAGGTTTGCTCGCAGACTGGCTGGTGTTAAGTTATAAAATGTTCTCCCAAAATTTATTTTATATCATTTCCCTATTTTTTATATGTTATGAATTTCAACATTGGAGTCTTGCCTAAAAAAAATATTCAATCAAGAATTTTTCAAACTTCCCATAATTCATGATTGAAAGTGGTGAATTTTGCTGCAAGAATAGTTTTCGGTAATGATATTAGGCCTAGGGTATATGTTCCCCAAATTGTGTATTATAAACATTTCCATTTGCTTTGTGTCGGAATAAATAGGCAAGATATGAGTTTAAATTTATGGAATACGTTGTATAATAAATGAACAAAAACAAATTTGGGCCAAAATATGTGATCTTCGATTTGCTGTTGATGGCAAGTTTCAAACATACATTTGCAATATTTTTCTCAAGCAGGATTCCAATTTTAAAATAACAAATAAATTCAGATTTGAGGAACATATTGTAACTTTATATATTCGGACAATTTCCAACCAGTAAGAAATATACTTTCTAAATTATATTTTTAGAACAAGAATCTAGTGTTGGAATGCAAAAAATATAGATTCTCTAATTTAAGAAATGTATTGAACAAAAGAGAAAGGCTAAAATATATGCACATGATAGAACTATGTCCATACGCAAACACAACACGGACACTCATTTGATCCTTTTTAAGTCGAAATAGGCTGATGCACATGACTTGCGGTATGCCATTCTGTACCGCCACTGCTAAGGTTTTCTCATTCCAATTGTGTTCCATAGTATAAAGGCAAAGAGTGAGACCACTAGTTAAATATTCAATTTGAAAAGATAAAAATCCTAAAACGCACAAGCCCCTAATGAAAGGAAATATAAAAAGAGTGTTAATATACTGACGTGAAGATGCAAAATTGAATAAAAAAATATTTTTAAATTAACGAATTTAAGAATTAAAACAAACATGTAGAGCACGCGCAAAAAATAGTAGGTCACAATTTCCTATACCCTCATGTCCTAATCAGAAACAAATATTGGATTGGTTATCTTTTCGAAATAATCCAAAAAGTAAATGTCATCAATGACCTACTTAGCATTCAAGATTTCATGGGCTGACCTCATATTAAAATTGCTTGACATAAGGGAATAAATTTGGTTGAAATTTCATTCAGAAATATATCAGTATTCTTAGAAAAATTAGCATGGTGTTCGATAAATATTTAAAATTTCATTTGATTTAAAATGTTAAGAGTTATACTATGATTGTACAAGTTTTATTATCAATCAAGCTTGATTCAGATTCATAAAGTGAATTGGTTACATTGGTTTAATATTGCTAATAATAAATTTAATCTTGTCTGCATTTGAAAAAATTACTTCACCAATGGACAATTAGAACAATTGGCCTTTTATTAAGTACAGTACATGTCAATAATAATTGAACATGGGTAACATGACTAAAATTCTGGTTGACCACATTGACCACTACACAGCGATACAATGACTACTAACAAATTTTCTTGGACTTGACATGATGATAGATGAATTAAATTTGTGATTGAGCTGTTTGCTTAGAGTTCAATTTGAAATGATTTTAGTTATTGTAGTCAATTTTCATCCAATTTCCTATGAAAAATAAGTAATATCTGTACAAATAACGGTATTTTATCAACCCCTTTTCAATGTTCACAGAATTCTTTAATGTTACTAATACATACATATATATATGTTCATTTATTTTCATTTTATTACAGAATAATATAGGTAATAATTTAGGTAAAATAAGTATTTGTTCAAGCTGTCAAACTGAAATAATCTTCATTTCCTGTAAGTACAGACCCGGATACCCTATCAACCCTAAACTACTGATATTTTGTAAGGTTTGAAAAAGTACCTGCTTTACTCCTAACTAAAGCTCAAGACAGTCTCTTATGGCACCTGAAACTTTTCTCATTAATAACCAGAACAATTTGTCTTTTATTCATCTAAAACACACATGCCAATAATCATTGAACATGGGTTAACATGACTAAAACTATTGTTTTTTCCAACTTTTCACTCTGAACTAGGCTTTGAATAAACTTGATATGTACGGTAAGTAAATAAACACAATATTTGATGTCTAAAATCTATTCGATTTAAAAGTGTGAAGGATTTAAACCCGATTTTTTAACCTTCAATCCCAACATAGTTAAAGCATAACCACTTGGCTCGATAAGAGTTTTACAAGAAGTCAAATATTTATCAAAATTTTTACTGTGGCCTGGAAAAATTTCTATTCTTAATCTGGAACTCTGAAGATATCAAACTTTAACGGTAAAATTTTTTATACCTAATGAATTTGTTGCAATTATGATGATTTAGAGTAAATTAAAACCAATTTTGGTATTTCAAACATTTAATGGTGTTTTCGGTTTACAGCTATACTCTAAACAAGGCTTTTTGCAAGCAATCACTGATAGGTGGAAATGAATGATTACACAATGCCTTTTCAATAAATTATAAAAATTGAAATTCTCAAGTGTTTCAACACAATCATTTGGGTTAAACTCTGGGTTAATTTCAAAATCATTATCCATTACTTTGTTAGTGCCCCACCATTAAATATTTGATTTATTTTCTTTGATTCTGTTTATATTGAGTTGGAATGAAATAATAAGATAAACACAGAGAGGTGAGACAATAACTGAATCCAACTCGATAAAAACAGGAAAGAAAACATATAAGAAAATTACACAGAGAGGTGAGACAATAACTGAATCCAACTCGATAAAAACAGGAAAGAAAACATATAAGAAAAATAATGGCAAGCCCTAATTGGTTAATCGGCTCGGTGGTGGGGCACATCCTGCTGAGATGATCCTGCCAATGATTACCTTACCTGGGTTTGCATGTTTGAAAATGAATAATAATGTGCAAGAGGTTTGTTGGACTCCTTCCCACTGTAGGGTGGTTCAAGTAACTGCTGGTCAGTCGGGGCTCTTTCACCATCAAGTCCATACATCCAAAATCAAATAACTGGCTAACTAATCCCATAGCATACATGAACTGTTAACTGGACGATAGGCAGTGGCTGGCCATATGATTAAGCTGTGTTATTGGCTTTCCTTTTTCACGGGAAATGTAAATTCTCTTCTATCGTATTATAATAATGACCCTTTTTAAAATAAAATTAAGTTTTTGTATATTAATAAAATTGAATATTAGTAAATATAGGTTATATCTTTAACGTTACGAATCCCGAAGTTTTGCCTGCTCATCCAATACTTCGCCTCAACAATATTTAAAAAATTTATGAATATAGGCCGGAACTTACAATTTAGTCGTCATGGATACCAAAATAGATATTGCTCATTGTTGCCACATAGTGACTGCTGTTGACGTACCCAAAAACACCAAATTGACTGGGAGACGGGTTGATAGTTGCATAACATTATTTGATGTACAACTAAAAAGGTCATAGTCGTGTTAAGTTTGCATAGTATTATTTGGTGAACTGAAACAAAAAGTCGGGGTTGAGTAGAGATTATATGAAATGTCCTGATCATTAGATGTCAATCATCAGAGACCACATTGATGAATTTTGTTGTTCCATACTGCCACCTAGCGTTGACTTTTCAAATATTTTCTCATGTTAAGCACAACTGATCGACAGTGTCACTATTGGTCCACGTTTGACACGTGATACAAGTACCACGCATGTTACAAGTGATGCGATACGTGGGTTAAATGGGGCACGTGAGACATGTGGGACGAGTGCCAAGCGTTATACAAGTGGTACATGTGGCACAAGTGAGAAACGTGCGAAATATGATACAAGTGACAACGGGTACACGTGGGATAAGTACAACATGTGAGACAAGTGGGATACGTTCGAATAATGATACAAGTGACACACGTGATATGAGTGACATATCGAAAACAAATAAAGCACAATTTCGGAAAATGGTAAAAGTGATACAAGTGACTCGCGTGGAACAAGTACGACATGTAGGTCAAGTGCGGCACGTGGGACAAGTGCGAAAAATGGGACACGTGGGCCAAGTGGGAAAAGTTCGAAATATGATACAAGTGACACATGGGGGACAAGTGCGACACATGGGATTAGTGCGACACGTGAGACAAGTAGGACACGTGTGAAAAATAGTTCAAGTGCGGCAGGTGGGACGAGTGGCAAGCGTGATAAATGTGCGAAAAATGTTACAAGTGAGACACGTGGGATAAATACGACACTTGGTTAGGTTGGACAAGTGGAACACGTAGAACAAGTGCCAAGCGTAATACAAGTGGGACACGTGGTACAAAGGCGACAACGGGGACACGTGCTAAAAATCGTAAATGTGGACATGTGGGACGAGTGCCAAGCCTGATTCAAGTGGGGTAAGTGTGAAAATGGTACAAGTGAGACACATGAGATAAGTGCGACGCGTGGGACAAGTGTGACACGTGAGACAACTGGGACACGTGCGAAAAAAGGTACATTGCGTCACAAGGGATAAGTGTGATTCGTGAGACAAGTGGGAAACGTTCGAAATACGATACGAGTGACAAATGTGAGACAAGTTGGACATGTGATAAAAGTTGGACACGTGAGACATGTGTGACACTTTGGACAAGTAGCACATGTAGGACAAGTGCGACACGTGGGACACGTGCCAAAAATGGTACACGTGGGAGACGTAGGACACGTGATTCCAGTGGCACACGTTGGACGAGTGCCAAGCGTGATACAAGGGGACACATACAAAAATGGTAAAAGGAGACACGTGGGATAAGTTCGACGCATGGGACTGGTCGGACAAGTGGGAAACGTTCGAAATATGATACAAGTGACACATGTGAGACAAGTGCGCACGTGGAATATGAGACGTGAGACAAGTGGGATGTTTGCAAAGCGTGATACAAGTAGGATTAGTGCAACATGTGGGACACGCACGACAAGTACGACACATGAGACAAGTGGGATACGTGCCAAAAATGGTACACGTGCGACACGTAGGACACGTGATACCAGTGGCACACGTTGGATGAGTGCCAAGCGTGATACAAGGGGACACGTGCAAAAATTGTACGAGTGAGACACGTGGGATAAGTGCGACGCATGGGACTGCTCGGACAAGTGGGACACATAATGCAAGTGTAATACTTAGGATGAGTAGCACATGGGAGACAAGTGGGGCAAGTGCGACAAGTGCCAAGCCTGATTCAAGTGGGTCAAGTGCGTGTCCTACGTTTCCCCCGGCGCACGTGTACCAAATGCGATACGTGGGTTAAATAGTACACGTGGGACGAGTGCCAACCATGATTCAAGTGCGACATGTTGGACACATAGTACAAGCACGAAACGTGATACGAGTGGGACACTCGCGAAAAATGTTACAAATGCATTATGTTAGATAAGTGCGACGCGTGAGACAGGTTGGGCAAGTGGAACACATAGAACGTGTGTCACGCATGATACAAGTGGGACACGTGGTACAAGTGGAAAACGTGAGACAAGTGCGGCAAGTGAGACACGTGCGAAAAATGGTACACGTGGGATAAGTGAGACACGTGGGACAGGTTGGGCAAGTGGAACACATAGAACGTGTGTCACGCATGATACAAGTGGGACACGTGGTACAAGTGGAAAACGTGAGACAAGTGCGGCAAGTGAGACACGTGCGAAAAATGGTACACGTGGGATAAGTGAGACACGTGGGAAACGTTCGAAATATGAGACAAGTTACGGTAGAAGTGGTACAAGTGACAGGCGTGGGACAAGTGCGACACGTGAAACTGGTGGGTTACGTAGGGCGAGTGCCGAGCGTGATACAAGGGGGACAAGTGCGACACATAGATTAAGTGTGACATATGAAACAAGTGGGACACATGATAAAAGTGGGACAAGTGCGTCATGTGGTGCAAATGCGATATGTGGGACAAAAGAAACAGGCGCCAAGCGTGATACAAGTCGGGCAAGTGCGACAGATGATACAAGTGACACGCGTGGGACGAGTGATACAAGTTGGACAAATGCAACACGCGAGAGAAGTCGGACGAGCGGGAAATTTGCGACAAATGTTTCAAGTGGAACACTTGGGTCAAGTGGGCCAGATGGAAAAAGTGGAACAAGTGCGACACATGAGACAAGTGGTACACTGGGTACAAGTGCGACACATGGGACATGTGATATTAGTGGGACAAATGGTACAAGTGCGACACTATGGAGAAGTGAGACTCGACATTTTTGAGACACCCTACATTTTGAGAGAGTTTATTGTAGACAAACAAGAACTTCTGCGTGGAACCTGATTCCATGATATTTGTCGTTATTTATACATATGTTACTATAATTAACAATCATGCATGACAAGAGAATTTATTTTGAAAACATTTTAGACTAGAAGGTATTGTTAATACAAATGGTACCAGCGGAAACCCCATGTTGTCAATTTTAAATTGTATTAAAGCAGTTTCACAATGTCTATGAAAATGTTAGTTAACATCAGAAAGAAAAAACATCAGTAAATATCGAATGCATTTGAATATCAAACAGTAATTGTCAATAGTAGATTCTCATAATAAGCCACAGATCACAGTATGTTCAAGTAGGTTCTTGTCGTTTTCTCCACTTACCAGTGAATCACCGAGTTTTACAATGTAGTTGTTTGATTGTTCTTTCTTTAAAAGTAAACCCTAGAATTACACACATTTTTGGGAATGAATTATTTGTTTGCTACTTTTATAGTCATTATTTTTTGCTTTCTAGATGTTTTCTTTTTTTAGGTGGTGACCTTTCATGAGAAAAAGACTTGTCCACGGATGATTTTGAATTTTTAACTTGGCTTTGTGTATCGGGTCCTAATAAATACAAAATAGTTTTTTTTCTGATTTATTGGAATGCATTTCTTCTTCCTTACTGAAACTATCATCTCACTAATGGCTAACATAGTACCAAACATTTTTCGTTGAAGGGTTGGTCTTATGCATGATTTCACACTGTAATCTTCACTAATTTCGTTGGCGGTGTGATCTGGGTCGGATTGACATTTAACGATTGTTTTTAACTAATGTTATTTTCGCTAATATCTTTTTTTTTTACTTCTTCGTAATATTTTTTGCTTTTTTATCTTGTTCATTTTGCTTTCGTCAAATTTTGTCTGTTCTGGATTTGTTGGTCTTTGGCCTGTGGTTTATATTTGCCTAATTTTGGAATAAAATTTTTTCTATTATTCATTCCATGCCCAGTTTTGCCACAAATATGACATGTTGGGCCCTATCCTAATTCCTCGTTGTACGCCACTTTTCATGTTGAACCTATCTTTCAATACGAGTACTCCTCTCATAAAGAGGCAAAAGCAGCAAGTCGTAACATAAAAAGATTTCACATTAAACTGGTTTTGCCACATGTTCACTCACCTAAAAGTATTGAATCAGTTCACACACAAAACCACAGGGCTATAATAAAGTAGGAAAAAAAGGAGAAGCATAGATAAAATATATAGTAAACAAAAAATAGATAAATAAGTAAAAGAGAAATTAGAATAAAAAATAAAAATTGTTTGCCACACCATTTTAATTACTTTATAGAAGTTCCCAAATCGAATGGAGATTTTGTAAACGCGAGCCAACCGTATTTAATATGAAGACGAAGGTTTTGCCAAGCTGATTATAGTTGGAATCGAATGCCAAATCGCCCAACCAAAACTGTCGACCAGTCGCATTGATTCCACACCATCGTCAATTGCACAGAAATTTTAATAAATATAAATAAAAATTATTATTACTATTTCAATTCAATAATGTTGTGCAAATCCAAAATTTTGAAAATTTTCGGAAAACGCACAGATTTGTAACTGAATGTGGGAGGAAAAATAACACAATGATTGATTTATAGCATTTTCGAATCTTGTAAACAATGAGCATTATCCAAAGTTAGGATTTTTTTTGTAAATCTTATCGACGTTCCATAGCTCTTACATTTGCGGAAGCTCTTTTTCCATTATGAAGAGTTTGAAATCATACATCAATGTAGATATTAAAAGACTTTTGTGGGTTTTAGTAAGTTTTCTGGTGGTTTTTGTATGTTTTATATTGTGGCCGCAAACAATGCAAAAATAATTTTGTGGCCCCCGGAGCCGACAGCCTTGGACCACCCTGGAATAATGAATTCGAATTCAGGTCAGGAAATCTACCAACAGGAAATTCTGTTGCATCAAGTATAAGTGTTACATGCTCAAGACCATGAGCTTTGAATTGGCTAGGCATCATTGTTCCTGAAATCATGGTCTATCCATAACCTGGTACACATACTACGTTCCGATGTCCGCCCTCTTGGTTCACATACTACGGGAGTACCCTAAAAAGAGCATAACCAAATGTTATCCAAGCTCCAAATATTCCATGTGTGGGTTGGGTAACCTGTAGCATACAGGCAACTATTGCAAGAGGTAGAACATGGCGGCATATTACCATTACAGCCGAGAATTCATTTCTTTCAGTAGCATTCCTTTGGCTACTCCTAGCATTTCTGCAATTTCCGGATTACATTAGGCGAAGAAATGGTTCCAGGCAAATTGATAAGTCGCATCTATCAAACATCTGTTATTTTTTGTTTCGAATTTTGTGGAGCAACTGCAATTCCTCAAGTTCAGACTTCAAACAAGCATTTCCTGATTTAATTTTCTGGTTTTTCGTCCTCAATTTTTCCATATTGCAAAGTATGCTAGACATTTTTGACTGAAGATTTGATTTTTTCACTTTTTGAAAAATATTTCTTGCCTTATCGAACTTTTCCGTATGAATGGTCATTTCGAATTTTGTGGAGCAACTGTAATTCCTCAAGTTCAGACTTCAAAAGAGCACTTTCTGATTCAATTTTCTGGTTTTCCATTTTCAATTTCTCCATATTGCAAAGTATGCTATCCATTTTTGACTCAAGATTTGATTTTTTCACTTTTTGAAAAAGATTTCTTGCCTCATTGTACTTCTGCGTACAAATGGCCCTTGCTTTAGCAACTTCCTTTTTTAAATTTACACTGTTACTGCCAGGTATTCTGATATCTAGCAAATGTTTAAAGTTCCGTCGAGGTGTGCTCCAATGCCTTGAGCATATCGACTTCCGGAGGCGCCAATTGACTCCATCCGTTTTTAAGAATATTATATAATATCTTAGAATTAGTTTTCTTTTTGGAACATAATAATACTGCTTCCAATTTCTCCAATTTGAGGTGCATCCTGCCACACAACAATTCCAATGTGAAGGCATTATTGATTGACAGATAGATGAAAAATTAATACAGTAGGCTATTACTATACTGTAAAATTGTATTGTTAGACCACTTCTGCTGTTACTTTAATTAATTTAATATCGGTAATTGTTTATCTCATTTAGCATACATGGGTCTGGTATGACCGCCGCATAATGCCGGTACAGCGGTACGGTCACGGTATAGCGGCACGGTACCGGTACATATCCACAGTCACACCGGTGCCAGACTGCCATGCCGACAAATTGGCTATGTAATCTAGCTTATTCATTCTCCAGTTGTACGGTGGTACCGGTACCGGTACCGGTACCGACACTAGTGTTTTGGCACAAAACTTCATTTATGGCGGTCCAAAACCCATTGGCGTATCTCATATTTAATACCGGTACCATAGCGTCTGTGAGTATGTAGTTTTAGAATAGTACTGATAATCCCACTTTTCTGGCAGCAAAAGTGACTTTGAGCGTTGTTCTTAGGAACAAAAGCTCAGGACAACTAGTGTCACCTCTTTTTTTTACTAAACTAATGCGACAGGTCAAAGGTTATGACTGTCGATACGTTACCATCACGCGTGATCAACTTCTGCATTGAGTTGCCACATTTGAAAAATATCACGAAACGTTTTCTATGTAAAACCTTGACGTTATGAAATATATATATATACTGCAAAAAATTAGCCGAAGCAATAATTCTATTCGAGAATTATATTAGTGAATGAATAAAAAAAAATTGTTGCCATAATTTCTGTACATTTATTTATTATTTCACTGAATGACTTCCCGTAGTCTCGATTTCTCCTTTGATCCGCGCTTGTTGCTAAAGTTGGTGGCCGCTAATGTAGAATATTACGTGAACTAAAGGCGTAATTAGGCGTCTATTGAAAAATTAATTTCTCACTCTCGAATGAGATGCGCTAGGGCTATTGCTAACAGTACCATAGCCCACCAGAGTACCGATACCTGGATACGGTACGATAGCTTTCAAGAATTCTACCCTTTGTGTATAGGTAGTTCACGGTATTCTGGTACCGGTATTCCTGTACCGGTATTTGGTTCCAGAGTCCAATAAATTAGCTACCGTTACCAATGCCGGTCATACAATTTCATGATTTTTTCTCAATCCTATGATTTCAAATCTGAAAAGTCTAGGAATTTAAATATAAAATTTTCTAAATTAACTTGACAAAACATCAAAATGAGAGGTCGAGGAGGACGTGGACGGGGTGGAATGCATCGTGGAACAAACAGAGTGTTTGTGCCTCACATTCCATTTGATTTTGTGATGTGTGAACAAGCTTTCCCAAGAGTGAAGCCAGCACCTGATGACGAAGCTTTTACCCAGGTCAGTACGGCACACTTTACAGATCGAGAGTCATTGTCTCGTTTTAGAGAATTCCATTCTGTTGATGAGCAAACACCCTCTTTTTGGGGACGTCAGGAGATCGTTTTTTATCAATATCGGTAAAAATATATTATAATAGGCGCGGCAGTGTGGCTCAACGGGCTAAGCGTTAGGAATACGCTCGCCACTGCGCCTCTAATTACTCTACGTGGGTTCGCAGGTTTGAATCCCATGCAAGGATGGTTATGTGCGAGAGGATTGCTGGACTCCTCGCCATCGTTAGGTGGTTCACGTAACCGCTGGTCGGTTACGGCCCAGACTGGATTCCATGGCAGGTGCACGCCCGAGGGCGCTAGCGCTCCGCAAAAATGCACGCGAGCGAAATCAATTTTGCACGCCGAAAATTTGCAATTGCTCACCAATGTAAATCGGTTTAAATGGTTTTAAAATCAATAATCCAGTAATATAAAGACGCCAAAATATTATACCTCCACAATTGTCGACAAATACCAGCCTGCAAGATTTGGTCTGATCGAAATATTGCAGAGCAAAAAGACCATGGACCTTTCCCCAACCTTTGACCCGCGAAAAATTCCTCTCATTGTTACGTCCTTTTTTGCATCTTGCTGATTGGCCAATGTCACGAAGTAAACAAGGAAGTCGATGCTCGGGGAAAGATCCATATCGTGTTGAATGATAGAAAATAGGAATCCCGTGAGAATAGTTATGGACGAAAAGATCGCCTCTGCACCAATGGCCAAGTACGGCTCTGATTCAGCGTATTTTTTATACAATAATTTTACACGAATGTACTGAACAGTACCGGTATCTAAAGTTGCTCAAACACTCCCAAAATTAGTGACAAAGTATGAAAATAATGTTTGGGGTCAAAGGTCAAACGTCCATTTTGCTCTAATTTGACGTATTTTTTATCCATTAATTCTACGTAAAAACACTACCAAAATGAATGACAAAGTATGTCCATTTTGCTCTGGTTCAACGTATTTTTTATCCAATAATTTTACGCGGATGTACTGAACAGTACCGGTATCCAAAGTCGCACAAACACTCTCAAAATTAGCGACAAACTGTAGAAATAATGTTTGGGGTCAAAGGTCAAACGTCCATTTTTTCTCTGATTCAACGTATTTTTTATCCGATACCGGTAATTTTACGCGGATGTATTGAGAGGT